GTAATACTGCCAACAACTTTTCAGTATAATTGAGAGGAACCAAGTCCTGCAGTGAATGTATGTATGTTAGGTATATTATTTATGTACACACACAGCGAGCGCTGAGTGCACAGGGCGCAACAGAGGAGGAAGGAGGAAGGAAGAGATGGAAAAGGAAAAGAAGAGGAGGAGGAGGTGGAGGAGAAGAAGAAGAAGAAAAGAAAGAAGGGGAAGGAGGAGGAGGTCATCGCCAAAGCAAGAGCACTCACATCTCAGGAATAGCTTAGCGTCGGTGTCGTTGTTTGCGAAATCAGTGACGTTTCGTGTAGAGGGCGCAGTAACGACCCGCGGTAGACGGCTCGAGGTGAAGCCGACGCAGTCCGCGAAGGAACACAGGATTCCAACACATTATAGCAGACACGCCCTGGAATAAAGTGTATATATGTGTGTGTGTGCATATATATATAGAAAACATTCATAGTTGGTTGGGGGCTTAATGCTCAGGGTGATGTGGAGCGATGGTGAGCTTTGCATGCCTTCTTGCTTGCAGCTGTCACCGCTAGCTAGCTGGCTATCTATAATTATATAGATTGGTGGTGCTGGTGGAGGGTTAACGTCTAAACTAAAAGCACGTACGTCCTGGACCTCTTGAATGGACGCCCACGGGGAGCCAGCCCTCCATCCGTAGTACAGAGTTCGTGTTGTTGACGTAGGCTGGCGGTGTCACCACGAAGATCGCTAGACGCCCATCGTCACCGCCCACACTTTGCTGTCTATCATGGTGATACGGATCGCTGGAATTTAGGGGAAAAACAATGCTGGGGGAAAGTAGCAACGGATAATGTGTGTTATATATATATAATATATATATATATATATATATATATATATATATATATATTACATATATTTATGTATATGCGTGTGTGTGGTGTGTTTGTATTTTCTATGTGCATATATATATGTGTGTATATATATATAGAATAATATTATATACATAAATAATAATATATATATATATATATATATATATATATATATATATATATATATATATATATACATATAATATATATATATATATAGATATATAATATATTATATATAAATATATATATATATAAAATAATATAAATATATAT